TTCAAAGTGAAAAGAAAAAGTTATACCCAATAGAAATGTATCATCTATTAAAATTTCAGGAAGATCTACATTATCTAAAGCCATTCTATAATTTTATTCATATATTTTGTGGAGTTCACATATTTTTTTCTTACAGCAAACATAACACTGTAGGCCACAAGAAGCTGCAGTACTATTGTTTCGTTAGCAGCAAATTAATATTTTATATCTGGGTAACTGGACAATAAATAGCTTGCTCCTTTGGATGTGGATGTTGAAAATGTAGAATCACTGCAGCTTCAGAATGTGATTGCTATTTTACAGAGCTTATACACACACAAAAAATACGATCTTTGTCTATATTTTATACAAATACAACAGTAGTTTGTGAATACATTTTAAGTACATGATATACATGATAAGCCACTTGATCTCCCAATATCACAGAAGAGTGATTTTAAATGCAATAAAAATATACAAAATTCAGCCTGGAATGCAGATTTTTCTTTTCTATTTTGACAAAACTTTATCATTCAAACGTTTTTTTAGAGTACTAGTCCAAACACTTTTTCATCAGCTAAAAATACAATTTCAGCAGTCCAGCTTATGTTCAGGCATGATGCAATCCATTTCCTAATGGATTCCCAGTTTTTGTTAAATTCAACGGGCTGTTAGTAACATACAGCATGTTCTTCACTCCACACCATATTACAAAGCCCACTTTTCATTCTGAGTTAGAGTCACCTTGTGGACAAAAGCTGGGTTTGTTCTGATAACATTTGCACGTCCAAGATTTCCTTTTGCAAGTGCACGTGAATACATTGTGGTGGATGGTGTTAAAAGTCTGTTAATGACAGATTAAGTCACAGTATAAAAATATATTGTACACCTTTATGCCTAATGGAGTCCTTTTTTTCCTATGGCTAAAAAAATACGACTGAACAAGACAGAGACGTTTGTAGCACCATGAAGAGTTGTATCCCAAGTTACATTAGCAGCATGATCCAACATAATATTGAAGGAGTGTTTCTGAGAAGATAAACATTCATTCTGGTTCATCTGTACCACTGAAGCTTATACAAGGAAGTGTTTCAAACATTAGCAATAGTTCTGTCATTTCTAGAGCAAGATAAACTTATCAAAAGACACTGCCTTTCCATCCTCAAAGGGTTGGTAACAGAGAAGGGCCTAAGGGTGATGATCTATGTGTGCCTTTACCAACGCAGGTGGTATCAGTTTATGTGATCCAAAAGGCACTCCGTATGGGTTTCTAGCACAAAACTATACAAGGCAACTTTCATGGATCTATGGAATCGCAAAAGACTATCTGTGTTGTAGACACGGCTGCTGACACAGTGTGAGAACAAATAAGACAAGGTCAACTTAGGCACTATTTGGCAGAGATAACAGTCCGCTATTGCTAATGAGGAATACTCGACATTTAAAAGACCTCCTCCAATGTCACATGGATCTCAGTAGGCTAGAAGCAACTTGGGTGAACTGGTAATTTTTAATTTACATACTGGGAAGACAGTGTGTTTTGAAACACGTAAACCTTGTAAAAAAATAAACCATTGTAAAACCTTATGAAAAGACACACACTGATTCTGTGCAATATAGCAAATTGATAAGAAAACACTGTAAAAATGTACCTGTTTAAAATACATCTACCATTTTTGAACACAAAGCATTATATATCAAAGGCCTACATATATATCATCTAATGGCACTTGAAACAAATTATAATAAGTCTTAAAATAAAAGGCATAACCTATAAGAAAGTTTCTGTAAAGGTTTAGATTCGTTTTGAAAGTGCTATATCTTGTAATATGTGTAGTATAGAGGTTGACCAAGCTCTATTTTTTAAAAAAATATTGGCCTATATATGTGTATTGCTTACTAGATGAATGATCCTGAAATATGTACTCTTTAACATTCATTATTAGCTTAATAAAGCAATCAGCTCTGGCTCATGTTTCAGTCAGTATATGGTTTTTAAAAACCGCTACTGTCCAAATTAACACAATATATCACTATATTCCACAAATGACTAAGAATAATAAAGCACAAGCAACAAATAGGCAAAAATACATAGCTTGGAAAAAACACTAAGTGAAATTAAAAAGTTGCACAAAGAGTGGGGTGTGATCAGCCAGGACAACTGAAGTTTCTGAAAACTGTACTTGGTAATAGGATTTTAAAATGTGAGTTTTAACAGTGACCAGTAACTATAAAGATGATATTTGCATACATCAGCGGATAATATTGCTTACAGTGCTGAGACCCTTCCACACTCATGCTTCTGTGTCTGGTGATTGAATTTGTACACACGTGTGGAAGTTCAAACTGAATGAGGTTCAATATCTTGTCTGAGGTCCAAATTCTAAACTGAAATATTTTTACTTAATGATAATCCCTTTTTTTTTTTTTTTTTAAACCAAGTGAAGGCACTACTAGAAATTTCAAGGATGATGATTCTGGCCACGGGGAGAATGAAAACAGCATTGGCAGTAATTATTTTTAATCCCATCCAGTTGATGTAAAAACAAATGTCAATTTTTTTCTAGGAAAAAAAGAGCCAGTTCTGAGTTACATCCTTGTTAAACCATTGCGCAATTAAAATAAATGAATCTGCCTCATGTTTAACAGAAATAATCTCAAAAAGGGTTTAGTGACCAGTGTAGTCAACGTGAAAAACACAAGCTGAATTCCCCCTTCCTCGCATGTGTTTCAAGTCTATGAGGCGGCAACAGGCAAAGAGGTGTTCACGTGAAAATTAAGACTACAATGTTAGCCCTGGTGCTCTGAAAGACGTGCCTCCATGTATCTGAATTCCATGCAGGGCGAGAATTAGGCTAAAAATATACATACATATATGGCGCCATTCCCCATTTCCAAAATGTCTTACTGAATAAATCCTGGTACTCCCTTTTTTAGTTGTTTATTAGCAGTAAAATACAGCCTGCTAAGGCCAACATCTCAGGTCATTAATTTGACTTTTCCTTAAGCAAATTTTAGACAAAGTAGTGCTTCCACACTTGTATTTGTGACTTCTGTGTAAAAGTACATTTTCTATTTATTTGTGCTCTGTCACCAATTTTTTTCCTTTTTTTAAAAATGGTGATTAAAGCAATATTGAACACTAATCATTCAACTAATGATTTAAGTAAGCAATCTGTTTCATAGAAACTAAAGGAAGCAGTAATAAAGCAGAGCTAAAAGCCTACTTTCAGAGCAAATATTCTCCTAATCAAAAGCTTAGGAGCAGTTTGAAAAATTTTAAATGTATTTCCTTATTAAAACATATATAATTTTAATGCCTTTGGAACACACTTTTTTTAATAAAATGTATTTTTTATAATAAAATTTAAATACATAAGTATAAAAACTACTGCTCCTAGAATTAAAAAAAAAAATAGGAGCATGATAAAATATCAGGAGCCAAAGCTCCCTTAAGAGAGCAACTCTGATTCTATGAAGTGCGATATATGTATGTGTGTGTGTGTGTGTGTGTGTGTGTGTATAATATATATAGTGAAACCCCCATTTACATTATTACAATTTACATTTCTCCACAAATTATACTACTCCCAAATATTTTAAATAATGTATTATATTCAGTAATCTGCACTCATTTTTAGAAATTCTTGGTAAACATCACAATCTGCAGTGATAATTGGCCCTACAAATGAGAAAAGAAGCTTCCGTATAGGGCTAATGAGTGCTCAAATATTTTTCTTTTTCTTTTTTTTTTTTTAAGAGATATATACTCTTTTATAAACCTTCCCCTTCATACCCACCCCAAAAGACAGGGTCCCAAAATAAGGTGTTAACAAGTGCTTAAAGATATGTTTCGTAGGCTGATGTCCCAACCAATATTTAGAAAAGCATAATTTGACCTTCAAAAAGGTTATGGTGGTTGTCTAATATGAGGAAAGCCCACAATAACTACTTTATTCAGTGAACACAATATTCTTGATTGTTACTTTCACATTACCTAAGACAGTGCTTGTTCTGCTTTAGTTTTCTCCCCACTCTACAAATTTAACGGATTTGCAACTCTCCCCCAATTTCCCAGAGACGTGTAAAAGTGGGGTTTTACTGTATATATTTTTAGTTGCTTAAAACTTTGTGGTCATTCTTCAAATAGCTTTCTAATGCATTTAATTTTAAAGTCTCCATCTGAAAATAGCAAGGAAAGATAAATCAACACTGAATAAGAAAGATACCATGGGGGTAGGGCTGTTGTTTTGTTTTCTGCTTTTGGCTCTTATGGGAAAGAAAACTGTATTAAATTCAGCAAGAAGTGATGTGAGCGATATGCTTTTCCTTTACTCCTCAAGAGTCTAGTTTCCAACCCTGGCAACAAGGGACAGGGTTCCTAGACAAGTTCCCAAGCTGAACCAAGTGTTCACATCTATCTTCTTAGGAGACTATCACGCCACAGAAGAAAAGACAGTCCACTCTGGGATAAACACCCCTGACATCTGTGGTTCCACAATGGCTTTCGATTCTGGACTGTGGACTGACAACTAAAACAGAATTGCTGGCTGCACCTGACCCACCCTTTGGCCATGAAAGGCGGAAATGATTAAAGAGATCTAGCCATACACTGACTCTGAAGACTCGGATGCTGTAACACAATGAGCACTATTAAACTGGAAAGAGCGACTTTGCAATGTGGCAAAATATCCTGCATACAAGTTTAAGGCCAACTACGGAGTAACATGGAATGCGTGTCACCTCACCAGGAGTCTCTTTTTTGCTACAAATACTGGTGCTTTGTGTTTAGGTTTTGTTTTCCTTGTATGTGCATAATATAGACGGCAAATATTTGAGCCAGACAACAGCAAAGTCTTCAAAATATACTGACCAGAAATTATGGTATATCTAAGAAACATCTATTATCTCCCCAAACTGGATTCTGAATTCATCTGAAAACATTTGCTTATGAATCCATTTAGAGAGTAGTAAAAATGTAAAAACTCTCAGGTTATTCATATACATTTTAGAAAATGTACATTCTGTTGCAAACATCTTTAATGAGACAAATGTCAAAAGCTAGAGCCACTGTTATTGAACAGAACTGAAAATTTTAAGATCTCAAAGCAATTTGAATGTGGGACTCGTAAGACTTTACTGCTAATAATGGCTTTCCTAGAGGAAAAAGCATCTTAAAATATGACAATTGGCAGTGAGTGTGGACAAAATACCAGGTAAACATAACTGAACGCAAACGGTTCCAAAGCTCATTTATAAAGCTTGTTTCTATTTCATACTGTCTTAATGAAAATTGGTACTGTACAAAAGCAGAAGTTTTTATGCGGTTTTAAAGTAGGCACTAAAATAAAAATGGTCCTCTAAGGCAGGGCTACACATAGGTTTCTGTGATCAGTCCACGTCTGGGACTCCTACTGAAAAGCTTGATGGAAACGTGGCAGTGTGGTGCTCGTGCTGAAACTACTGGTGAACGCTGCTGACAGGGAGTGCAGGGAGCCGAGACCTAGAGTGTTTGCAGGATCCTGAAGATCCTGTGTCTGCGGGGGCAGCTGAGACACAGAAGAATGTGCTTCCTCTTGGGAATAGCTCATTCCGAGGCTCCCCACTGAGATAGGATTATAGGGAGGGCCATTGAGGGGTATGAAATTAAACAACTGGGAAAAATCCAAGGCAGGCGTATTTAGGGGGTCACTGATAGAAATAGAGCTTTTTGACAGGGAGAGGTCCCCTGCACCATCATCCAGGGACCCGACCTGAGGATCCAACCCTAGTTTAGATGATGATGCTTGGGAATCCTGGGATGAGGAAGGCCCGCCACCTTGCAGCTCCATCAGATAACTCTCAATCTCCCCCTTTAGTGGCTGTTCTTTTTCAGGAATAGAAATGGCATATGAGGTAGAACTGAATGGGTATTTGAAAGAAAGGTGGTGAGAAGGATGGACAGCGTCCATCTCTATTGGGCACGTCATTCCCAAAGGTAAAGTTGTGATCATTTGGTGGGCAGGTCCCGAGCTCTGCATGGACTGAAACGGAGTGTTATAGAGGTTTAACTGCAGAGTGTTTGTGAATGGCTTTGACAACAGTTCGCTGGAAGGTAAGGACATCACCGGGAGGAGCTCATCTTTTATAGGCACAGAAACGTTGCAGGTGAATGGATCCAGAAAGTCCACCGGTTCGGTTTTGACCTTCAGAAGTTCTTGATTGTGACTCTTCTTCATGTGTCGAGTCAGGTGATCCTTCCGCCCAAATCTCTGTGCACAATACTGACAGAGGAAGTCCTTCCTTCCCGTGTGCACCACCATGTGTCTCCGGACATCCTTCCGGGTGTAGAAGCGGCGATCGCAATGCTCGCACTGGTGCTTTTTCTCTTTCACCCCGCCGGACGACTTGCCGGCGTGTGATTTAAGGTGCTCCAGCAGCACTCCCGTGCTCTCGAAAGTCTGCAGGCAGACCTTGCAGGTGAGGTCGCCGCTCGTTGCGGCATGCAAGGCCAGGTGACGCTTGAAGCCGAGCTTGGTGTTGTAGTTCTTGCCACACTCTTCACACTTAAACGTCTCTTTGTTGGGGTCATGCGTATGGAGGTGATTCTTCAGGTGATCTTTCCGGTGAAACATTTTCTCACAATAATTACACTTGTGGGTTTTCTCAGGAGAATGGGTAGCCATGTGCCTTGAAACACAGACATATTCTGTCAGTATCACGACACAAATGGCAGGGAGTCACTTTTCAAATGGAAGCTAAGCTGCTATGCTAAAACCGGCTGGCTCCCTGCTAACGGACACGCTTTAACTTAACATGCGCTACAAGGACAGTCAATACCCCTAAACACTGCAGAACTCGAGCCGCTGAAGTTGCCACTTCAGGATTCTCTGGTTCGTAGCTATTACTACAAAAGCCAATGAGTGAGGCTGAACATACTCACGTAAACGTCCATACCCTCTCCTTGTAATCTCTTTGCACAAACGGAAATTCTACTATTAAGCATTTCATTAAAAAAAAAAATCCAAAGACACTAACACAACAAAGTATGTGACTTAGCATACTAAAGCTAGCCAACATCTAATCTACGTTAACATTTCCTCTCTGCAAAGCAGCTCAAGAATGTGTATACAAATATATATACGTTTACAACGGCTTCACATGGCCAACATAATAGAAAATATAATCTGAAAGACAAATAGAGTTTAATACCTTTGTAATTTGTACTTAGAAACAAAGGCCTTGGTGCAGTCTTGTTGTATGCACTTGTAGGGCCTCTCTCCTGTGTGAGAGTAGGAGTGAACCTTTAATTTCTCAACACTGTTAAAGGCCTTGTCACACAGTTGGCAAGGAAAGTTTTTTCTTGGTTTGGTTTCACCACGCTTACGTTTCCCTGAAGGGACTTTCTGGGTATCTCTTACTTCTGACAAATCACCAGGAATGACAGTGGCCATCGCAGCCTAAAGCAGGCCTTCTTGTTGGACACTTGGGAACTGCCCAACTCCACTAAATGATTTAGCTTTAGGTGGCTTCTCAAGTTTCATGTGGTCGTAAAAGAAAGCAAAAAGGGACTGGAAAAAAAAATAAGAAACAACTAGTTTGTAACTAAATTTAATTTTTAAAATTTTTATTTGCTATGTGATGCTTTTGAATTCAAAAAGAAACCATAAAATGGATTCAGCTGGTCTAATGTAATATCTGTAGATCTCTTTACATTTGCCAAAATACATATTAACGCATTGCTCAGAATGAACAGTTCACACACCCCCAGAAATTCCATCTGACAAATGTCGTACTTAGGGAAAGCAGTAGTGATCGCAGGAACTCTGAGGAAGCATCAAAACATGACACTCAAAGTGGCACTATGAAGCTTCAATTTTGACAAGGTAAGATTAGACAACAGAAATCTGACTAAAAACAGAAAAATGTTTCTGCAAATATTTTAAGGTTGAAAAAGCATCTTAACTTGTGTAAGTAAACTCTAATTGGACTCTGTGTTATAGAGAAATACAGAGAAGCGACTAGAAACTCTTTTAGGTACCCTGTGAACCATTCAGTCCAAGGAAGAAGTGTTTAATGCAGCCACGGGAGGCCTGAAAGAGTTGAAGGCACCACCCAGAGTGGAAATTTGCTCTTGAGACCAGTGTTAGCACACACAGAGGGATTTCTGAGTCAAGAGTGGAAATGATTTCTTTTCGTAACAATGCACATTCTTGAAATGGTTACACCTTGTGAAGTTATTTGAGGTGAGGATCATGGCTCCTTATCCCTCGGGGGGAAAAAGACTTGGTCAGGGTAAGTTTCTTCACCTTTTTGCACATCACAGAAAATGATTCTGTTCATTGGGCACACTGAGTTTAGTGCATGAGCCAGAGTCCTCAGGCCTCCCGAAGAGCTGAGGGTATCGGTCTTGGGCACACCTGTAACCCATGTGCAGTACACCAGTGTGACTTTTGGCTTGGAGCCCAATACCTGTGCGAGGACGCATCATTACGGAGGTGTTTCAGGTAAAAGGCGTATCAGAGCTTCAATGCACTATGGCTGCTCTGAGGAAGAAGGACATGTACGGATCACATGGCAAAAAGCATGTCTACTTACACAGAAATGTTTGAACTGATGGGAACCTTTGGAAATTCATGGACAAGAGATAATAAATATTATTAACTGTATTTCTAAGAGTGAGAAACCACCTCCCCAAAGATCCACCTGATACAAAAGAGTTAAAGAGACTCAAGTTTCATGACTGCCAATCTGGCAAAGTACTTCTAAGAGACACAGAAATGAGGAAACCTACAGCCTCTCTTGAAAAAGATCTGCTTTTTGAAGTGAAAACCGCACGTGGCTAAATGATTAATCAACCACTACTCAATTGGACTTTTCCACCTATTATTTACTTAGAAACAAACAAAAACCAGTCTCTTTCTAGCCCTTGTTTTGGCATCAGACTGACCCTAGTTTGCCTTTAAGAGACAGATGTGTCCTGCTGAGTCCTGCCGATTCCAGTTACACTTTCGCAGGGGCTCTCTGTTTAACCTAACTTCTATAAGACTAAGTGTCTATTACAGTGCATCCCTCTGTGTTTTAACGTAGAGGCTGTCACTAAACAGGCAAAATAGGGCTGTTATCCACTCACTTGATTGAAATGGAAGGCTTGTGGGTTAAGTTAACCAGTGTCTGCTTTGTGTACCCTTTCTTTATCAGAAGGGAGACACAGACAAGGCCTTCCCTTCAAGCTGTGCGAATTGTCTAAATCTCCTCTGCAGTTTAAAAGTGACATTAACACAGTTAACACAACTGACATTACTAATGCTAACACAATATGCTCCCCCAGTTTTAGAGTTCCTAACTCTCAGGGACGTGTTCTTTTCCTGTTCTATTCTCATTCAGGAGACAGCTTCTCTAGCTCTCCCAGAACTATTCTGCTGTGACGAGCAATGGCACTGTAAACTGGCAGAAAGCACTCTGCCAAGGCAGGAAAAAACCCAGTAATTCTGACTCTTTGATTTCCTAACACGATGCTTTCATGCACCTATTCAGGGCACTGTGGGGAATAAGCTGATAAACTTGTCATCTGTAAAATCAGCACGGGATGCGAAATATCTAAGTCCCTATATGTAACGAGTATCTGAAAATATTTCAAAGACTGGTCATATTTGTCATTGTTGTAATATGAGTTCCAAGCACAAGGGGCAGAGAATTCCAGTTGGGGGAAAAAATGTAACTTCTAAGTCAATGAAAAAAAGTATTGAAAGTACACCATGAAACCATATACAAACATTTGATTATATTAAAGTTGGTGATAATACGGAGTAGCAAGTAAATTCTGTTATCTTTGGATGTACATACTGAGCAATGAAGAACTGCAGATTTCAAATATTACACTTTTCTAAGACCAGCTGAAATTTTTTCATGGCTAATAATAGCTTTTCATCTCAATATATTACAGAACTCAAATTAGTTACAGGTGTATTTAAAACTACAGGATAATATAAGGTTGTGAACTCAACATTGAATAAAAGTCCACATTCATAATATGCATATCAAATACTTTAAAGAAACATGCAGAGAACTGTAGTGATTCTTGTTCAATACATACCTGATGACAGATGGAAAAAGCCTCAGACCTTGATCTTAGCCAGTCCCATTGACTCTTCGTGGAAGAGAGCGGAATCCAGTCCTTCCCATTTTGGCCAATCTGTGAAACAAAGAATAAGAATGGACTACACTCTAAATGGAATCAGTATGTAAATGATGGAAAATAAAGGATAAAAGAATTGCAATTTCATGGCACATGCTTACATTCCATACTCTGCTGACAAGTCATGCATTAATTTTCACCAGTTGCAAATTTTTATTAGTTCTAAGCACACTTACATGACCAAATGAATGCAGAAACAAAAAATAAAGTAGTATTACCTATATAAATGGCATTTTGTGATGCTGAATGACTCCTGCTTCTTTCCCAAATTCAATTTTTTAATTTTTTAAAATCTAACTTGCCTACTGAGAGAAATGGATATTAGGGTTACTATCTTTAAATGAAATTGATCAAAATTTCATTAAGTTTAATAATATTATGGAATAGACAAAGTCAGTGCATCTGGAACCTTATCAAAAGAGCAGACTCCTGAAGAAAGCACCTCATCTGCCCACGGGACACGTACTTGTGCAAGGAGGGTCTCTCTGAGCTGCACTTTTTGCTACCTGCAACACCTGCTGATCTATTTCCCAGAATGCTGCAAGGATTGCTAAAATGGAGCAATAACTCTGCACTCTTTACATTTCAAAACCATGCAAGGGAAACTATATACGGGTTTGCTACAGAGGTATCAAGAACAAAGCATCACTGGGTTTTAAAAGATCACTGTTGAAAAATCTTAAAATATCTGTAAATAATGCCTATTGGCATGATCTTCAGTTAACTAAGAACATGCATAGAGAAAAAAATGTTAATAATTCCCGATTGTACAAGTAAATGTGAAAAGAATGGGCAAAAGGCAGAAAAAACAACTATAGTATTATCAATTGTAGAGACTACAGGGCACAAAGAAATTAATAAGCTCTGAATATTTTAAAGTTGAATGTTCAGAACTCATGACTGTAAGAGCATGAGGGGGATAATATAAATCAAATGGTTAAAGTACAATAATAAAAGGATTCACCAATGACAAGCTAAGCGGAAACAATTTTACATAATGTTCCAAATACAAATCTAATTAATTTCTCCTAATATCAAATTTTCACATACTTTTAAGAATTTGATGTGTAAATAAAATATTTACTAGAGAACATTCAAGCATCATTACAAAAATAATAGAGGTATATTTGAAAGCAGCATTATTCTCATAGTTGAAAAAACAAAAATACAAATTCAGACTCGTAAAAGATATTTAAAAAGTTAAAGCAAAAGCTCCATTCGTTTGTAAAGCACAGGACATGCATAAATGGAAGAACTGAATTCCGCACATCAAAACTGTAAAATAATAAAATTAACTTTGTAAATACTTACTTGCCCAGGGCACATACTGAGGTTTTGGTTGGGTAGTTAAGAACATGAAAGCCTGCTTTGTGTATTGTGTTATTTTAATAATATAAATACCTTGCAAGTATAGAGTGTTTTCATCTCTATGGCCTCCCTGGAAAATTCAATGGACCTGAGAGGTGGGTGCATTTATCATCACTGCCATTTTAATGTGAGAGACTCATAGAAGCTGACTATCCTGACAGCATGTATGTGGTCAAGAAGGGGCATAAGCCTTAAAAATTCCTTTTTCCACTCTTACAGGGCTGCATTCTAGGAGAAGGGTGGGTTGGCAAACCATTACGCAAGTGGATAAATCCCATATTACATTTAAAAGACAAGAACAGGGAATAGTGCCTATTTTCTCTGTTGGAACTGCCAATATGATCCGCAAAAGGAAACAAATATAAGACTTTGCTTCTTTTAATAAAGACAGTTTGCAAAGTAAATTTTAAGTAATTTATATAACAGTTAAAATAACTAGCATATCTATCTGAGTGGACAGTGATTTGGGCAGAAACAAATATAGAAGCTGACTAGTAAACAATACATTTTTGTATTTTTCCTGACCAAATAAATTTTATTGCACCTCAAATAATTCATAAAAATTTCAGTGATGCTTATTCTTCAATGGCACTTATGATAAAAACTTTAGAGTTGAAGCATTTCAATATAGTTTAAAATTTCTATCTTGATTTGAAATACTAGTATAGTCTACAAAATTATCCATTACATATTTTAGCCTGAAATAAAACAATAAATAAAGCCAAGATTTTCATTCATTTTATCGCAGAACGTAATTCCAAAGTCACAGTTAATTTCCCTAACTTCAATCTAACTATTTTGAGTTCTTATGAGTGACCCAATAATTTCAAAGGGCTGCTAATTATTTCCCCAAACAAAGGAAACCAGGAGCCAGTTAGAGTTCATTATTATATGGCTTGATAAAATAAACATTGAAAAGTATATACCATTTGCATTTATGTAATCCTAACTAAAATGCCAACTAAACTGATCTGTGTT